CATTATCGAAATATTCTCTTCGATGCCTTTAATTCTTTAGAGAAGCTCTCGCACTAATTAATTTACGCCTTGCTTAATTATCGCTAGCTTCGTAAGCGCTTCCCCTTTACGCACCGAAGGGTCTACGACGATATTCTTTAGATAAGTGATGTAATCCGACCACCGTTCGAAACTAGGTTTATCCCTAGTCTATGCGTTCGCGGCGCGATCCGTTAGAAACGTCGCTGCGTGTCGTATGCGCTGAGTATATTCGTTCTCCGCGACTTCTAGGAGAGCACTAAATTGAAGCTCCCATCCGACGCTATATTTTTGTAGTTCCGACATAGACTTTTCATTAAAGGACGGAGATGTCCCTAGCTTAATGGTCTTATTCAATATCGGTCCCTCGTTATTTCCTAAGCTTCCGCTTACTAGGCGCTTACGGGTCGGCAGCGTAGTGCCTACGACTTCCACATATCGCGTTGGCTCTCTACCTTCTAGCTCTATAAGTATAGCTTCGTTTTCTTATTTAAGGCGATATCGTGCGAGTCTTCGCTATAATTCTTAATGCCGTCGGTGCACCTGTTCGTCTTCGTCGTCGGGTGTATTAAGAGGGTTAGCTACGTCTCGCTCGGAAGTCGCATTTATTTCTCGCTCTTCTTCGCGCGAGTTGCTCGGTATGGTCTGGCTCGACGACTGACCCGCGGATATACCCCCCGACCGAGAGCGAGTGGTTATCCTCTCGTCGGTGGACATCCTACGTGTCTCACGCTTATCGCTTACTCCGACCGACTTAGAGTTCACGCTTTAAGAATATTAGGGATTTCTTAGTAAGTAGGTAGAATCTAACGATAAGCGTATATATAAGATATCCCATTAGTATATGATCGATACTATACACGACTTAAAGCGTGAGAGAGGGAAGAGTGCGCCTTCTATGCGGGGAGTGTACTAGTAATAAGGATGCACTCCCTGGGTCGTATCTCTTAGCTGGTGGCCTAATTATTCTTCGATGTATTAGGCGTCCGTCCTTCCGATATTTAGCCGGATCCGTAACATAAACACGCTAGGTAGAAGACCTAGCAGCATTCAATTTTCGTATTAAATAGAGAGCAGGTAAGAAAAACCTCGCTAATGGCTTATCTAGAAGGCCTAATCATGAGCGAGTAATTTTAAGTGCTAATAAATAGGGCAATATACTGCATGAACTTATAGCCCTACGCTTAGAGCCTCCACCCGAATCGGGTGGAGACGGTGAAGTACCGATATCGATTAGCGCTGTTCGAATTGCGGTATTAACGAGAGCGCAGTCGTTACGAAAACTACATCTAAGAGACAGTGAATAGAACACTATTTTTAGCCCAATACCTTCTACTAGCGAAGTAGAGCTAGAATAGAAGAGCGATGAGTTAAATAAACTCATCGAGGACGGTCGCCTAGTAAATATAAGCTAGGCGACCCCTAAAAGAGAAAGAGCGCCGACTTTCTCACCCGAATTAGGTGAGAGAGCAAATTTAGAAGCTTAGATTCGGGAGGCGTAGAGTCTTAATCGGTTCGTGAACGCACGAATGTAAATAACCTCCGTAGATGAAGAGCATTAGACACTAGATTAAGCGGGAATAGTCCGACGAAATGGACTTATTTATATTCCCAATGATTTAACGATTAAGGCTAAGATCCTAAGGGTTAATCATAATGATCCTTAGGACGGGGGTCACTTTAGGCGAGCCAGAACGCTCGAAGTTATTCAGCGTTGTTATTGGTGGCCCAGGGTAAAGAGAGACGTTTACGAGTATATAGATACTTATAATATATACTAAAGAATGAAGGTTCTAAGACACAAGCCTTATGAAGAGCTAGTCCCTCTAGCTCCGCCGATGAAGCCCTAGTAAGATATTACCATAGACTTCATCGTAGAGCTACCACCGTCTAAGCATCGGAATAGCGTCTACGACGCGGTGCTAGTGGTAGTAGATAGGCACTTAAAAATGGTGCGTCTTATTCCATGTAAGTAAGACATAACGGCCTAGAAATTAGGGACGGTCTTAATTAATAAAGTCTTCTCGAGATATAGAATATCTAAAATAATTATAAGTAATAGAGACTCCCTATTTACGTCGAAGTATTAGGAGACGATGTACTATTATCTCACGGTTAAGAGAAAGCTATTAATCGCTTTTCATCTATAGATAGACGGATAAATAGAGCGGCTAAATTAAGTGCTTAAATACTACTTAAGATACTATCTAAATGACGAATAAAGCAACTAAACTAAACTACTTAGTAGTGTAGAATGGGCTATCAATAATAGCCGAAATAGTACGATTAATGCTATACCGTTCTAGATAGTATATAACTATAAACTCAGTATGAAAAGAAATCTTAAAGGTCCTTATCCACCCGAATTAGATAGAAAGGAACCGCTCTTAATTCATAAGAGAGCAAGACAAAATACTAAGGAGATTTTAGCTATACGAGCTTATTTACGAGAATCCTAGTAAAGAACGTAAGAAAAGATTAAGAGCTACTATAATTAGCACCGCAAGAATATAGAATTTATAGCGGACGATCTAGTTATACTCTCAACGAAAAACATTAAGTTACGTAAAGCTAGTAAGAAACTCTCTAATAAGTATATAGGGCCTTTCCACGTTAAATAACGAATAAATAAAAATATCTATTAACTTACTCTATCTAAGCGTTATAAACGAATTCATTTAATATTTTACGTTTCACTTCTTTAGGCTTATTATTAACGCTAAGGAACTCTTCCTTCTCCACCTATTAATGTAGATGAAGAGGAAGAGTTCGATATAGAATAGATTCTAGACGCTTAAGGAAAGGAAGTAAGACGACGTTAGTTAGTTAAATAGCTAGGGTGAGGCTATAAATACAATATATAGGAACCTAGAAAATACTTCATCGGTGCCCTTATACGAAAAATGATTAGAGAGTTCGACGAAAAGTACGGCGTACGTACTTAATGAGAAATATCTCTCACCTAAATCGAGTAGAGATATACTTAGTTTTACTATAAAGAGCTACTTATAACCTGCGCTACGTAAAGACGATACTCTTATAGGTCGTTTTAGGGGTCCCGACCTACTCCTAAGGATAAGTATTACTCTACTATCCATATATATCCTATATTTTAGGGAGGTCCCGACCTACCTCCTAAGAACAATATTACCCTACTATTCACTTATATTCTATGTAGCTCTAATATTAATACTATAAACGAGAAGAACGACGTCGTCTAGAGACATCGTTATCCTAGCGGCTATAGGCCTAGAGACGTTCTTAATTTATATATTCGACCTATATTTTAGGGCCGCGAAGAGTAGCTAACTATACGTCCGGTACTCTTTAACGAGCGCGGACGGCGGTAGCGAAAGAGAAGGAAGAGATAATAGCCTTCTTTAAGATCGGCGAAGCCGGAGAAAAGAAGAGAGAAGAGAAGGAGTCACTAAAATAACTAGTACTCTAATCTATTTCACTATTAGTAATTTCTCACTCGAATCGAATAGAAAGAATAAGTATATCGAAACTCGAGCTAAAATCCTTCTCATCGTTATTAACGAAGATAGAAGGGGCCGGGAGAGAGGGAGCTACTATTCTAATTAGTATTATTTCTTCACCTCTTAATATCACTAATAAAAGGTGAAAACGTTCATTAGAACGTCTAGTAAATGCTAAACCTCTCTAAGATCGGAGAGATCGGCATCGCCGCTAACCTTATAAGCACGATTAGCTTTTCGAAACATAGACTTAAGCCTCTATACTTAGAACTTAAACTATTCCCTAAAATAGATGTTAGTGATTCATTATCCGAATCGGATGAGAAACATCTATATCTAATTAGCTAAAATAGCCGAACCACTGCTAGCAACGAAAATTACTCTCTCGATGAGAGCTTAGAGGGCACGATAATCTATCTATAGATTAACGAGGATCTAATTTATTTAGTATACTATTAACCTTAGCTAAATTCTCACTCACGGCAACGTAGCTAGCGCTAGGCCGGGAATAAGAGCAAAATCTATACGACTTAGACTAAGTTTAGTCGTAGAGTAAGGCAGAAAAAACTAACTTCGAGCTAGGAGTAGACGGAGGATCCGTAAAACCGCGGAAAGCGCTTCTTTCGTTAGTACGCTATTATTATTCTAATATTGTAGAACTCACAATTCTTACTAATAAGGCTGGCACCACAGCCTAACTAGGACTAAGTGTTTAGCCGGACTTCCTCGTACGTAAGAGGCTATATATATATTAGCAGCGTCTCTCACCCGAGTGAGGTAAGTAATACTTATATATCTTATAGTTAATCTAAACGAGGAAGAAAGAGACGAAGAAGACCATAGTAAAGGGCTTAAGAACTAAAGTAAAGACTAAAGTGAATTAAATCTCATCTATATTACTGCAATAATATAAAACGGCTATCTCACCTAAATCGGGTAGAAATTTAATCACTTACTATTATTAGTGAATGGCTATTTAACTATTATATCATTATCTTCGTCATTAATAATTAAGACGGCCTATCCATACGATGAATTAAGGCTATCTTCATACTCGCAGCGACTCGAGGGCGAGCCGCTTTTTAGAGGGGGGGCAACTATCACGAACTCACCGTTGTCCCTAAGTACTCTACGCCCTTCACCCGAATCGGGTGGACGGTATAGAAAGAAAAGGAAAGAATAAGGCAAAGGACGGTTAAGGTATAAGGCTATCGGTTAACGCTGCCTTACCCTTTTCACGTGACAGAAAGAGGGGAAGCTATAAGAGTCTCCTCTCACCTGAATCGGCTGAGAGAGAACTCTTCCTTTTTCTCAAGCGTTGAGTCGTTGTCAATAGGGCTACGTGAATAGAATAAGGTATTCAGCTACTCCAATTCCTTTGTACCTACTGCGTTGCGTAGGTCCCTGATACATAGGCAGGGAAGCTTGACGAACTAGTCCCCGTACAAAGATATTCTAGAATACATTAAAGCCGCGTCCACCTATCATCTAGAGCTCAGCGCGATGACACGACAACCTCCCGATCTGCGGGCTTCAGCGACTCAGATGCTTGTGAGAGTCTTTCATGGTGAAGAGCTGAGCATACCTCGGCGTCAAGTTGGGACAATCCCGGACCCCGGAAGCGCGCCAGAAGCTTCACAGGCTTCAGAACAGCACAATTTGGGCCCAAAACTGCAAAGCCCATCACTCAAAGCCCTTGCACCCGGGGTCGATAATCTAAAACCGGTCGACAAAGCGCTACCTAAACTTATGCCCAAGGACAACGTGGCTCGACGAGTCATTCGTACGAGATTGGCAGAAAATAAACGACGATGGGATCCTTTGGGGCCAAGGCGGTTTACTTAACGGAATCACTCCCCCATAAGCTCGGTGATGTGGCACGAGAACCAGAGTTCACGACCGATGAATCGGTTCAAATCAGTTTATTTATTATTTGGTACCTGATGTCACCTTCGCGAACACAGGATCAACTGTGGAGTGGATCGATGCCTCGCTCCTCTGGGATACAAATATGTATCGATATAGTGTGCTGTGTGTCGCCAGTTTCTTCTTTCCCAAACCTCTTGGTAGATTACGCAACCCCTTGTCACTTTATAGACGCCAGACCTTGACCCGGAGAATCAATTCTGCTTGTCGAGCAAGTTTGGATGTAATAGCATCGATTGGTCTAGCCTTAAGAAGATGCGCGAGGCACAGATGGGGAGGGAAAACAATCATGACGATCTACCGTGTTGAAAAAGAGTTCGCGACCCGCTAGCTTTTCAGGAGACCAAGTTTTCTGGCATATTACCCGAACTTTGGACATCCTCGCAACGGCTACTCAATGGCGTCGTGCGGGGACGGTAGTGTTGGAGGATGGAATCTGAGAAGGGTAGCAGGGAATTCTTTGTCAGAAAAGCATTGCCAAACCTTTTATTTTCGTGGCCACTTCTGTGTATCCTCTTTGTTCCTGAATTGTAATAACCAAATGGGAAGGGTCGAAATAAAGTTATAAGCGAGGCTAGGTACATAAGTACCTCGTATATCTGCGATTAATTCTGGGTGACTAGCGGGCTAGCGGGCTAGCGGGCTAGGTACTTTGAGTACGCGCCTCACCGCATAATTACCTTTGCTGAAGTCAGAGTACCACGTGATTAGCTACCTCGGCACCGGGGTGCCTCCATTCATCCGATTCCCTTCCGCTGGGCAGACCTTGGGAGAACCATCTCCTCATCCCTTGCCAGGCCTGCTGTCTTCAGCTCTCCAATCCGTCCTGATATTGTCTCGATCCCCAAAAAGGTGAGCTATTACACAACAGCCAGATCAGGATTATACACACCAGAATGGCCAGGAACAAATGACATTACTGGATTTGTCGTGATCGAGAAGCAATTGCCGCGCGTGAGGTGGTAGCTTTCCTGAGTACTCGGTGCTCCGGACCTACCTCTCGTCCAAGTCCCGACATTCCTTTTCTTCTATAATCTGTCCTGTAGTGATGTAAGTCCAGGGAAACTCCTCCTGGTCCTTATCTTTGCCATACACGGTAATCCCGTCGAGACGCAGGAAACCTCAGTCCAAAGGAAAGGTGGCAAAGGCAATCAAAAAGGGACGACGACTTGACTATCGTCGTCCGACCTCTTTTACCAATTCGTCAAACCAACCAAGCGGGACTTCGAGCATGCTGTTGCAAAGAAGTCTTACACCATCCTCGACCTCTTTCTTCTCCACAGTTATAATGTTAATCAGCGTCTGGCGACCAGGTATCCCCCGTGTCCAGCGTATGTGAACTCCCGTGTGAACTGGGGTGGAACGAAGATCCTTGCTACCACATCCTGAGTCGCTCTCTGATTTCGAGCCGGCTAAATAGCTGCTCGAGAGAGGGGCTAATCTTAAAGCCCGCCGCAACTTCGACATCACCACTCTATCAATGGCGGCCGAGGGTGCTTCTCTCGAAGTCGTCCAGCTGCTCTTCGAATTCGGTGCCCCGGTCCATCCCGGACAGCCCCTCTATTATGTCGCACGCAATGATCGGCTACATGAGATCATCGCTTCTTCAGCTTCCTCTTGGAAAAGGGCGCAGACTGATATTCAGGGGACGACGGTGAGAATGCCTACATCTATACATGTGACTGGCCGGGTTTGACCTGATGTTCGCGGTATCCACATATTTTTCCACCCACTTTAAGATCCCTGTCCCCTAACGGTGCCGATACGGATAAACCATTCAGGTGGCGTCCCGCATTAGGGCGCAAAGTCTCGAGCATTCGGTGATGGACAATCGTGGTCAGAGGAGGAGAGTGAGGGCGGCTTATAGGGAGAGCCTCGAGCTGGAGCGAAGCATCTACATAAGGCAAGAACGGAGATCTGAGAGCTGTAGAGAGAGGAGGAAGAGGAATTGGAATAGAGGAAAGAAGGAAGGACAATCCCACCACAGTGAGCTCAATAGGAGAACAGTTTCATGCGCTGCTCCGTGGAGCAATAAAGCACTCCGATACATCTCGCTCAAAGTTGCCCATGCATATTCTGGCCCATGCACCAACTGTCCCTTTTGTTGGGCCATCAAGGGAGGAGGGTGTGTTGAAGCGCTCGGGATGGAATGCTGCCAGGTTCCTGAGGGGCCAATTTCCCCTTTCTCATGGAGTCTGGGGAATTAGCTGAGCATATCGCAACGCCATATTGCGTCGCCAACAAGGTTAAGTCCCGAACCTTGAGCGCATTTTGGGCCGAGGGAAGGTAACCAACCTGCCACAGACAAGAATGTGGAGGGACATCGAAGCATGGGATGATGAACATTAACCTGAACAAGAAGGTCTCGAGTCAGGTATGTCGCAGAGCGAAGCCAGTGGCTGGTCGTCAACAGGAGGTTGCAGACTCGCGGGACCCGGTTCGCATAGGAACGAGTGTGCATAATGCACGTAAGGTTAGCGAGGAGGCAAACTGTTGAGGGCTGCTTGGAACATGGCTTTCCCGTGGCGCGAACATCTTCCACATGTGAGCTTGTCATTGGGTTGGGAGATTGATAACTGACCACCCGGGTGACGATTGGAGCTTTGGTGAATCATCATCTGCATCTGCTTGCAGGTGCTGAAGTCAGGGTGTGCATGCACTGTTTCATCCTTTGTGACCTAGCAAATCGTACCTGAACAACACCACACAGCACCAACAGCAAGTTGGATGAGGTTTCCGCAGGTCATATCTGATAGACATAGTACTCGTCACTGACTGCTAGTATATCGATCGATAGCTGGAGATCGGCAATGCGATACCCCACCATGTCGACATCCTGGAAATTGGATTGAAGCCACAGAGCGGAGGTTGAGGTTGAGATGAGAAAAAGTTGGGGAGAATTTTAGCGATGGATGCCGAAAGACTCGCGGGCAGTGAGCCACCAAGATCAGTGGCCTAGAGGCTAAAGGGCTAAAGGCAAGGGGGCCGGAAGAAAAAGTTGCATCTTTAGCCAGGGGAGCAGGGGACGGCACTCCACCCTTGCGCCTTTCAAGTGCCTGGAATGCCTGGGTAATCGGTGTCTGGGTGTCTGGGTGCCTGAGTGCCTGACGATGATGCCGTTAGGCCCTACAGGTCACCCACAGTCACCCACAGGCACCCCTGGCCTGGTACTTGTGAGCTTCGGTAGCGACGCTACTGTACCGAGTACCTGCCCATTATCTCGCATCGGGGCTCGCGTGCCAATGACTATCACTTTACCACAGATCATACCAAGTACCTGAAGCCCTACCTAAGAAAGTACGTCTTGGCTTCCTCAACCTGGAGGCTTTACTCCGTACACCAAAAACAGTCTGTCGGCCCAGCATGCCCGCTTCTGCCTCGTATAGCCAACAAGGGCGACAAGCGAACCTCCACCATCATATTGTCCAATGCCATGTCGCTGCCCATGTGTCAATTCAACATCTCCGTCATCTGGATGCCTGTCTGTGGCCTGCTCTCCGGGCCTGGTCCCTGTCAGAATTTCTATCCACAATCCACCCATCCCACTTCAGGTTCAATTCCATTTTTTGCTCAACCTTGCCTGCTTCCGTTCAGACTTCCCGCCTGCAGCTCTGCCTGCCCAATCATGATCTCGACGTCTCAGGTCTTACAGCCGACTCTCAATGCATCAAGGGGATAGAACTTGCCGAACTGAAAAGCCCTTCACCCAGCATGCATCCCTGATTGAATGCATCGTCTACCCTCCTTGACCACATTCCACACTGACGGACGGACCTCCTCCCTCCAAATTCTTGTGGCGTTGAAGCCTAGCTTTGCCTCGAAAGATCCATGCGACGCAGGAGATCAGGCTGGAATTAATTTCACACATCAGCCAGAAACAGCTCCTGGAGAAAAAAGAGACCTGGGACGAATTTGTTCTGAACATAGGCGCGATATATCCATTGCTGCAACCCTCGCCGTCGACGGGAATAGTCTCAGTGAATCTTCAGTCAATGAGTAAGGAAGACGTCCTAGAAGAATATTGCTGTTCTGTCTATCATTCGGACCGATCTAACCATTTGATTTAGACATCGCCTTGCCATTTCGCAGTCTTCCATGATCGGCAGACCATTATCCGGGTCCCACAACGAAGACAAATATCCCTCCCGAGCCTGTTGTCGCTGGAGTTTCTTAAGTCGGACAAGAGGAGGTTGCCGCCTGCAAGATACAAGCAAAAGCAATCAGTCTGGACGTTGTGATAGGGGCCCCCTGAGCCAGCCATCACCGCGACCCGGCTCTTGATAACGAGACTGCCCAGACCGGAGTGACATAGCGGAGGCTTTCCTTCCAGAGACACTGAGTCTTGAAAGGGTTCACCTTCAAGTTGCAGAATATATAAGCAGGGACCGCGAAATACACCAACATTCTGGCGTCCTTCACCATGTCTTCAAATCAAAGGTCTTTAATGGGCCCTCCGGAAACGCCGAGCAGATATATGCAACAACAGTCCCCAAGCCTTTTTCCAACGCTGCAGCTCTCTCCAGATATGTACGCTCACCAGTTCCCGGCAGGGCCGGTCACGGCACCAATATATACAAGTCAAAGGCTCTTTTGGGACCCCTCTAACATGGACTTCAATAACCCTTCCTTGTCCGGTCAATATCAAGCCTCTTTTCAGTACAGCCCAGTGGCACTAAGCAGCTCGTTTAACTCTTCGTCCACAGTGGTACCTAACTTCGTTTCCCAAGACCCCTTGTTAGAGGAGCAGCCTTATGACTTGCCCAGCCTACCCCGTTCGGCGAGCTACTCCAATATCGACAGCTCTGCCTTTCCCGCGCCTTTCACTACCTCGCCCCGTGTGCTTCCACCACAAATGGAGAATCCAAGCATGTTTCTAAGCTCGCCAGCTCGCCGGTTTGGCACCTCTGACCAATTTTACGGTCACTTCGCGCAGAACCCTGTCCCCGAACGGCCGGCTTACGCACATCAGATCGAGGAATCCAGGCGGGAGGAGGAGATGAAGCGTATGCGGCGAGCGGAGATGAAGAAACCGTCAATCACCCGATCGGTAATGGAAGCCTTAAGACGGCCTGTCACTCCCAAAAAGGACAGCAGACCGGGTCTCAAGAGAAGCCTGACACATTCTGGAGTGAGGATCGATCGCAGCCTCAAACTCCAGACTCAGGGCAACCGTCAAGGACGTAACTCTCCCATACCCTTTGACCACAATCGGCAGCGTTCAGGGCGCTCATCTCCCCTCAAGCCGAATGCGGACCCCATATCGCGAATTCTCACCAGCAGTCGCAATCCCAAGCGGCCCTCTCTGTCGCTGGCAATTGACGAAAATGGCGTAGCCAAGACAGTCATGGTTGAAAATGCTGTAGATATGGACATTGATGAACCATCCGACAGCGGCGCCGAGTCGTTTGATGACGAAGACTTTAACATCCTCCACAGCCAATCGGACAGGCAATATGGCCATTCAAAGACCAGTTCCCGTTCTACCATGGCTTCGGCCAGCTCTGCGAGACAGTCATCTTATCAAGGCTCTACCTCGAGTGTTTCGCTTACCAGAGGAACCGATGGATATCATGGTCGAAAGCAACGACCCGTTCTTGGATCTACTATTGAAGACGACATATTAATGGAGGAAGAGCCGAGTGGCGATGCCCAACATGCGTTGCGAGCCATAATCCAAGATCGCTCTCGGTCCGCATCGGCACAAGGGGACAACCATAATCCAACCCAGCTGCATTCTTCTCCCCCCTTGCAGCAAGGCCAATATGCTTTGTATAACGCGTCGCCAACAACAATTACAGATCCAGATTTGGCGACCCCGAGCACCGACAGGGAAAGCCTTGCAAGCAACGTGAGCATACGGTGCCTGTGCAAGTCTTCCGTGCTTGACGGGTCGATGCCCATGATCCAATGGTAAGTTATGCGGCGCTCCGGTGGTCAAAATCGGCGATTGGTCTCCTCTATGACGGCATTGCATTTTACTGATGTGGCCTACTGCAGCGATTCGTGCACGAAGTGGCTGCACACTTCCTGTGCGGGCATCGATCATCGACGGAGGCCCGAGCCATATGTTTGCGCCTTCTGCACGCAAACCCCGGCGCGCCCGGGCCATAGCTCGCTGCGACCGTTAGCTTTGCCATTAACCGCAAGCCCGCTGGCACACAAGGTCAAGCGTCACCGGTGATGTTGAATATTTACGAATATTTACCATTCGCATTTGGAACCTTGGACTATGAAATTGTCATGGAATTGGGTCCTGTTGCATGTTCTTGAACGTCATCTATAGCTTGGATTCCACCCTGTGTTGAGAAAGTTTATGATATGTAGCGTCGCCGAAGCAAGGAGTGGAGGTTCCGAACACATATACCCCTGGCCATGTCTGATTTTGCGCTCTTTTGTCCGCAGCTATGAAACACAATTACCTGAATGCCAAATTAAAATGAACAGAAGTACGAATGGAATCCTGCAGAGGGGTTTTCGTTGTCGAGGGGGACTACAAATCTCCCTGGCTTGTTTTGCAAAGCAGCCATCTAGTTGAAAGAATGTCCGAGCCCAGGTGACACGACAAGTTCGTCCCGACTGGCATGTCTTAGATAGCTTTGGTCATTCTCCTTGACTGAACTGGAGCCCTCCATTCTGCTATTAAAAGTGCGTGGCCACGGTCGGGAGGCTCTGGTCTGACTGACATCGATCGTGTTATCCGTGCCCTCCTTCAACAGCAGCTATGCGAGCCAGCGCAATCGCGGTGCTTTTCCTAGCATCGACTTCTTCGGCTTCTTTCCTTGGCCTTCTCGCGAGGGCGAACAGACTTTGTCCAGCGGTCGTTGATACCATTACCGTCCCATCGACCATGAGTGTTACCCTTCCCCCAGTCACCGTCACCGGTACTCCAAGCCTTCCTGTGGCCACGCCAGCCGCTCTGGCAGCTGCTGGATGCCTGAGTGACGCCCAAGCAACAAGCATAGTCAGTGCGTGGAAGACCATCCTCACCTCGCCAGATCGAGCAAGCGCGAGCGCAACGGCCCAAACACTGATTGCGGACGAGTTCCTGGAAACAAGCGATGCGATCAATTCTCTGGCCGGAAATTCGGTACGTTTTCGCGACATCGTGTCTCTCTCTTTTTCCTTTGGGAATTCGCCACGCGGTGATCAACTCTGACATGAGAGTAGTTGGGCAACGCCACTTTCGATGGCAAGGACGGCTTCATCGCTGCCGTGCTGCAGAATTTACCCGTCCCGCTGCTGACCACGCTGGACATCTTTCACGACTGCAGTCGGATTGCGTTCTACTGGGCTGCCAGCGGAGTAGGTTCAGCACTCGAGGACGTCCGGGGCGTCGACCTGCTGTATGTTACAGAGGACCTGTCGCAGATCAACATGGCCATGGTCGAGTTCAACAGTCTTGCGTGGGGGAAGGATGTGGGGTGGCAGATTGTGAGGGCGAACGGAACAAAGTATTGAACAATAGAAAGTAACCATGCAGCCGGTGTACGACGCGAGAACCGTGGTGATATTTGGACATGGGAGCACGACTTCAGGACCACTCACTGGTCTGCCGTTTTGATTCAAGTCACGCCCCCGGTTTGGTATAATAGGAAAAAGGGTCGCAATCCAGGCTTCTAGGCCCTTTGCGCAAGTTGCTTAAGTAGTTGGGTCACTGGTGGTCATTGCGCCTGCATCCACATACCTGGGTAGAGTCGGTCAGGCCGCCTAGTTAGGTGAAGGGTGGTGAGGGAGCTCTGCACCCTGCAGGAGGCAAGTCAAGGAATCCCGAGGCCTCAGGCAACAGGAATCCAATCCCGCTCATTCGCAGGTGAAAAGAGAAAAAGAGGGGCGGCGTGGTGTGCGTGGGCTTGTGTGGTGCTTGGTCCTTCATTACTCCAGGGTATTTGTAGGTCAGTTCAGTTCAGGTCAGTCTTGAGGTCTGGATTGTGGAGGTCTTGAGTCTTGCCGTCTTCTCCCTCCTCTTCTTCCTTCATTTTTGCTCACACCACCGTCTCCCTCTCTTCCTGCACCCGCCACCGCAAGACTCGAGGTCAGAACAAAAGACGAGACACCGCCTGACTCGCCCTCCATCCTCATTGCAAGTCCTTGCCCTGTCGCCCTCCAGTCTCCACACGGCAAGACGGGACTCTTGCAAGTGGCACCTGGCCCGCCTCATCGTCTCAGTCTGGGCCTGGATTGGCTTACACATACACTATTACGAGACTTACTACACCAAACCGCCTCGTCAGGCGGATCCACTGTGGTGCGTGCTGCTTCCCTCGATGCAGCTGACCGCATTAAAGATAGCCTGCCGAGAGCCCTGGCTGCCACATGCCAACAGCCATAAGCACACCATCTTCCGATTCCTCTGCTTTTTATATGTCTCCAGCTCACGCATCTTCACGTCCAGTCCCCGTCTCGTCGAGCCTCGAGTTCGTCACCCATCAGGCTCGCCAACATGGCCACCGCTACCGTCACCGAGTTCATCACGAAGACGGTCAATGCCACGGCAGCGACAAGCACCGCCAGCTCTCGCGCAACCCCCCAAGGCGGTGTCTTTGAAGGCCTCAATCCTACCCATTATGACCCCAAGAACCCCATTACTCTCTTCATAATCCAGGCCGCCATAGTCATTATCCTCACACGCATCATACATGTGCCTCTGGCCTACCTTCGCCAGCCTCGAGTGATCGCCGAGGTCATCACTGGCATCCTCCTCGGCCCTTCCGTCATGGGGAGGATTCCCGGATTCACCAATGCCATCTTCCCCCCCAGTTCCATGCCGGCCTTTACTCTGGCTGCCAACCTCGGACTGGTGCTGTTCTTGTTTCTGGTCGGCTTGGAAGTCGATTTGCGATTTCTCGCCAGCAACTGGCGCATCGCCCTGAGTGTGGGTGCTCTTGGAATGGCTCTCCCTTTCGGGCTGGGTTGTGGTATTGCGTGGGGCCTGTACCGCGATTTCCGAAGTGATGCTGGGCTGGCTCCCATCAGCTTTGGCGTTTACATGCTCTTTATCGGTGTGGCCATGGCAATCACCGTATGTCCCCCTTGTTCTCATGCCGGCCTTTATCTCTTACCAAGCCCAGGCGTTTCCCGTCCTCTGCCGTATTTTGACAACATTGAAACTGCTGAGCACCCCGGTTGGGGTTATTGTCCTGTCGGCAGGAGTCGGCAACGATGTTGTCGGTTGGATATTACTTGCTCTGTGTGTTGCTCTCGTTAATTCTGGCGCTGGCCTTACCGCTTTATGGATTCTCCTTGTCGCTGTCGGCTACACCCTGTTCTTGGTCTTCGCCTTCCGCCCCGTCGTCATGTGGTTCCTGCGAAAGACAGGAAGTCTGGCCAATGGTCCAACTCAAACGGTAGTCGCATTGACAATCCTCCTCGTCCTTGCCTCTGCTTTCTTCACCGGGATTATCGGGATTCATCCCATTTTTGGTGCCTTCGTCATCGGTCTAATGTTACCCCACGAAGGGGGCTTCGCCGTCAAACTTACCGAAAAGATTGAAGATCTCGTCGGCGTTTTGTTCCTTCCCCTCTATTTCGCACTGTCTGGCTTGAGCACCAATCTGGGCCTTCTCAACAACGGCCTGACATGGGGCTATGTGATCGGTGTGTGCGCAATCGCCTTCATTGGGAAGATTGCTGGCGGGACCGTAGCGGCCAGACTGAATGGCCTGGTATGGCGAGAATCATTCACGATTGGCGTTTTGATGTCTTGCAAAGGTTTGGTCGAGTTGATCGTCCTTAACATTGGACTACAGGCCAAAATCCTCAGCACCCGTACATTCACCATCTTCGTTGTCATGGCCCTCATCACCACGTTTGCTACAACTCCACTGACAACGTGGCTATACCCGCCTTGGTATCAACGGAAGTTGGAGCTTTGGAAGCAGGGTAAGATCGACTGGGACGGAAATCCCCTTCGCCCCGACACCGACACGGAATCTACCAGCGACGCAGACATTCTTCGCAAGACCAACGTTGCCAAGAGGGTCTTGGTGTATCTCCGCCTCGACGGCCTCCCCAGCCTGTTCACCATGGTTTCCCTCTTTTCCCACAAACCCGAGGAGGAAGCTGTCGAGCCTCAGAACCAGGCTCCAAACTATGAGCCGTTGATGAACAACCCACAAGCACTCAGCTCAGTAGTCAGTCTTCGCCGCCCTCTTCAAGTGCACGGGCTTCGTCTCATGGAACTCACGGAACGAGAGTCCAGCGTCATGCGCGTAGCCGAGATTGAAGAATTTGCCGGGCGGGACCCCGTCATTAAGGCATTCGGTACGTTTGGGCAATCGTGTGATATCGCAGTGGGAGGACAAATTGCTGTGGTGCCTGATCACAGCTTCTCGGGCACGTTGTTATCTCGCGCGAGGGATCTCAAGAGTGATCTTGTGCTGGTCCCTTGGTCCGAGACTGGGACAATGTCCGAGTACCCTAGCTTGTTCGATGCAAAGCCGGGCGATCCGCTGGCGAACAAACAATTTGCGACACTTGCGGCAGAGATTTTTGAGAAAGCAAGAACCAGTTGCCACGTTGGTGTCATTCTTGACAAGACAGTCCTTTGCACGCCATTCGGTGCTTCGAAGATTGACTCGCCAGTCGCCGAACGACCGACCCGACAACTAAACAGAACTTTCACCGGAGTGAGTCTTGCGGATCAGATGAACTCGACAGTGCACTTTAAGTTGGCCGATAGTGGACGTTCCCGTCTCTTCGTCCTCTACCAAGGTGATAGTGAGGATGATCTTTTTGCGGTGCGGCTCGGTCTGCAGCTAGCCAAGAATAAGAAGGTAGATCTGAAGATTCTGAACGCCAGAGCCGGCCGTGGCGACTCGGACACTGTCCACCAAGACGCAGACACCGACCACGACAATAAGATGGCCGCCATATCGAAGGTCCATACTCTCCGGACACCCCTCGATTTTGAATTTGACACCCTCCGGTCAAGCATTCTGGATTTTGGCTTCGGCGAAAGAGCGACGGTCGTGGACGTGCACTTGTCAGGTCTGGATGCAGTGGTGGCGGCGATATCCGAGCCTAGCCCGGCGGAAACGTTGGTCATTATCGGCAGAGGCACTTTCCATCCCACGACCAACCCCCCGGTCAATGCTGGCGCAGGCGAGTCGTCAATGTCTAGTTCGATGGCCATGACAGGCGTCGCCGGACCGAGTTCTGCGCGCGAGGAGGGTCGCGCCTTGGGACCGCTGGCGACGCAGCTTGTCAAAGTCATCAGGGAGAGGCAGCTCCAGGCTGGGTTACTGGTTGTTCAGGCCCGGAGAGAGCATGCGGCTGACGCCCCTGACGCGTTCGGAGGGTTCGGTGCACCGCCGAACCCACTGGACGTGAGAGATCTGAAAGGAACAGCGTTGGCCAAGAAGATGAGCGCCTTGAGTGACGATGACTAGGTGGCGTTGTCCTCCTCCCACACCGAACCACCAGGGAGCGCTCCTCCCTCCCGAACATGTTTCCTGAGCCTACACAGCACGATTTGGGGCATATATTCAGGAACATATATAAATATACATACGCAGCCAGCTAATCCATGACGCCAGTCAGTCAGTCAGTCAGTCAGTCAGCTTTTAAACGAGTCAATGACACTTGGGGACACACAGTCACAGACGAGGCGTGTCGGGATCTCCATAGGCTGGATGCATATTGGGGAAGGGGAAACCAGATGATATAATATTTGGGCAGCGAACATGGCCCCCGACTAGATCAGATCAGGTCAGGTCAAATCTTGACTCAAGTGAATCAATGAACCAATAAACGAGAATCAGGGATAGAAAACTAACCATGTAGCCACCTGCCTCTGTCTATCTGCCCATCGAGCCATATACATGTCCATCCATCTATCTTCTGGGCGGATGGCGGGGATGCAACCTACGTAGGCTCGCACACACACAGGGAGAGAAAAAGGGGAAAGCAGGAGGGAGGGAGTGAGGGAGGGAAAGAGGAGGACCAACATAACGTAAGAAGACCTTTTGGAAAGGAGACGAAATATCGACGTAGATGATTTTCATTGCTCGTTGCGGGAATTAGCCTTACCCTGTACGGAGGTAGATAGCTACGTAGGTGGTTCGGTTCCGTGAAACACATACGTTTGCTGGTGGTGTAGTTGTGTAAGCTCCCTCTCTCACTTGCTCGGGTTTCATGGATGGATAGGACAGATGAATGGACGGATGGATTAGATGGAAGATCGCTTGCCAAATCTCCCGTAAAAGTCATGAGCCATGATGCTGAGTTCCGACACACTCACACAGAAAGAATCCTCATTCTCCCACGCTGACTTGTTGAGGCCTTCATTCCCCAAGACACCTCACTTCGTCGTGGACCATCCCCTATCTCCTGTCGACGATAGATCAAGGAGGTTAGACTAGACCACATCGGACTCCGTCGGGTCCTTGCGCTTCGCTTCCCACTAATGACCCTTACTCTACTCTACCGTCCCACGCGGATAACACCTGCAGCAATCAACTTCTGGATCTTTGACCGGATTCCTGGATTCTTCATGTGTTCGTTTAATGCCGCCGGGTCGGATTTAGCTTGTTGCAGGATCGATTGCAGGACCGGGTCGGAGAGGATTTGCACTGTACGAGGGAGACGGGTTAGTCACCAATCCTGAAATTCGGCGGGCGGGCCCCCGGGGGCAGTGAACGGTGAATGGGTTAAACGGAAACAGCGACGGGATCAGGGCACTTACTGATTTCAGGGTCTTTCTGAATCCTCGCACTGGTCTCCTCTTCCGTCTCCCCTTGTCGAGCAGCATACATTGCTTCCAAGGCCTTGGCCTGCTGCTGTTCAATCTCTCTGGCGTTCTTACCGCCTTCATCATGCTCCATGGCCTCCGTACACACATCCAAACACTTGTTGTATTCCTTCATGCCGAATAACGCTTGGGCTTTGCGAAGGTATGCTTTTATGAATTTCGGATCCCGCTTAATGGCCTCGTCGCAGTCTTGGATGGCCGTCGGGAAGGCAAGGAGTTTGATGAGTGCGGCCGCGCGGTTGGAGTAGCCTCGTGGGTCATCTGGCGCTCGCTTGGTAAGCTCGGTGTAGGCTTCGACAGCGCCGGGCCAGTCTCCCTCTTTGAACTTTTCGGCTCCCAAAAGGCGGGCTTCTTCTGCCTTTTCTGGGTCGATGTATGCGTCCTTTTCAGCTTTGATCTGTGCCCTCTCGGCGGCCTTGAGCTTCGCTAAGATGTCGGCCGTGCGGTGTTCGGTGAGAGATTTTTGGTAGTTGGTAATGGCTTTTGGTAAGTCACCCATTTTCTCATAAGCAGATCCGATTCGGCCAAACGCTTTGGCGATGATCTTGAAGTCGGCGAGCATGGAACGACCCTCCTCAACTGCCTTCTCGCAGGCTTCAATGCATCCCTGATAGTCGCCCTTCTCGAATTTGGCGGCGCCAAGGTTGGTCAGGTAGGTGATGTCCTTGTGCAGGTCCCAGGCCTTGGAGTAGTGTTCGATGGCTTCGTCGAATTTTCGTTTCTTGTAATTTTCTGTCCCAAGTTTCTTTTCGTTCTCGGCTTCTTCTTTAGCCTTCTTCGCAGCAATGGCATCTTCGTCTTCAGGCTCTGGCTCTGGTTCCGGTTCAGGTGCCTTCTTCTCGGGTTGACGCGGAGGATTGGACCGAGGGCGAGCATCCGGCATGGGGACATCCTCCTCTTCCGTGGCTCTGTCAGCGCCAGAGGGACCTCCTTCCGGCGGCATCCCCATCTGCATGTCGACACCCAACAGCACGCCCATGACCTCGAGGAATCTCGGATCTGCAAGTTCCTGGCCCATCTCTTGAGGGTTCTTGGCCAGTCGCTGCAACTTGGCCATGAATTGAGGATCTGCAAGGTATTTGGACGTTTTTGGATTGCTTGCGAGCTTCTGAATGAGTTGAGGATCATTGAACATGTTTCCCAAACCACCCATATCAGCACCGTCCGCACGTGCTTCGGCCTCAATGGCTCTGTTGACGGCCTCCAGGCCTTGCCGGGCCTGGGCGTTTGAAGGCTCAAGCTTTAGCGCCTCTTCAAATGCATCCTTTGCACCGACAAGGTCACCCAGACCATGCTGGGCAGCTCCTTTCCGACCCCAGCCTTTTGCCCAATCAGGCTTGAGCTCTGTAGTCTTGTTTGCATCCTCGAGGGCTTTGGTGTACTCTTTGATGGAAGCGTATGCGCCGGAGCGGTTGGAGTAGAGGACGTGGTTTGTGGGATCTAGTTCAATGGCTTGGGAGAATTTTTCGCTGGTAATAGGAGTTAGCAGAATGTCCAGACGCATGTTGCGGGCTGAACTCTCACATGGCAGTCGTGAAGTCTTTGGCCGCAAATGCTTTGTTGCCCTCAGCCTTTAGAGCGTCGGCCATGGTCAGGAAGTATTTGAGGTAGTCAAACTGGGCGAGATGAAGGGAAATGGAGTGAAGCACAGAGTGACAATAGAATACAGCGGTTGCAAGAGAATAAGGCTGTCGTCGTTCACAAGATGGACTGAGCCTGAAAATGAATTGGAGAAACCGACAGCCTGATGTACTTGTACTAGTTGGATCAAGTGCGGGCAGGCGAACGGACTTGCTAGAAAATTCGGTGCACGGGCCACCGAGGAAGAAGAGCAAAGGGGCCTCAGGTGAGGTGTCGAGAAGGCTGGAGGCCTAGAAGCCTGCGATGCACGAGGCTGCGCAGCCTGATGGAAGCCTCTGCAAAACCCCACTATTCGATGTCGCATCTCCTGCGCCAAAATTTCTCAGAATCCATTCTTCACACACAACTCCATCCTCAGTTCCCACTTTTCACACGCTTCCAATTGACTCAATTACAAAATTTCTCCTGGCATGTTGCGGTGACATCCTTCCATCCATCTTGTTCCATCATTCCTCTTGCTCACATGGTCAGCAGCCTCTCTGCTTGACCCATCATGTACACAGATCTCTACCCCCATCGGTAGCACACCCCCCTAAGCCATTGCTTCAAGATGGCGCCTCCCAAGAACACCACCACCTCCTCGGGCCCCGGTCCTTCGACGACCGCCCCTGTTCGACATCCCACTGCTGATGCTCTTTATGCCTGGTGCTGTTCCAAATACGCATATGGCTACGTCTTCTCCCAAGCCGAACTGTTGGGTGCCGGCGTCATCCCCAACCAAGATCTCCAAATCCTTCTATCCTCCGTCGAATACCTCACCAAAAATGCGCTCTTCAAAGTGCACGATAGGGCGGGCGGTGGCATAGGCTGGGAGTTGGTAGACCCAGAAACAGCAAGAGAGTAATGCCACACCACACCAAACTCGCAGTATCTGCTTAAGTCCTGACTGTCCTATTCTACAGCTATTCCAACCTCAGTCGCAATGAGCAAATCGTCTTGCAGGTCATCGACGGCGCAAAGACCTCGGGAATGTGGACAAAACAGATCCAGTCCAAGACCGCTCTCCACACTAACATTGTGGAGAAGGTCTTCAGGGTTCTGGAGGGAAGAGGGCTGATCAAGCAGATGAAAAGTGTCACCCATCCGCAGCGGAAGATGTACATCCTGGCCAGCTTGACTCCTTCCGAGGATGCAACCGGCGGCTCTTGGTTCTCCGAAGGTCGTCTTGATATCGGTCTGATAGAAACCATCTCCACCGTCATCGAGCATTATGTTTCTACTAAAAGCTGGCAAGAAATCAAGCCTGATGATGTGGAAGAAGGCCCAGGCCAGAAACGCAAGCGTCCTGGTAGCAGCTTTGAAGAGCACGGAGATGACAGGGCCAAACTGGCCAAGACTGGCGAGGGACAGAACAATAAAGCCAGGACTTCCAAGCACCAAATTTCCTCTCAGAAATCCTACAAACCCTTTGGCCCTGGCTACAAGGCCTATCCCACCCTTGAAGACATAACTCGGCATATCATCAACATCAAAGTCACGGGCTCCATTCTTCCCCAAAACGCCGTCGCACAACTCCTGCAGGTAATGGTCTACGATGATCGCCTCTTCAAACTCCATCGTCCCCCCGTTGGCAACGAACTCCCTGACGACCACGTCAACAACACCGTCACCATGTACCGCTGCTTTAAAACCCCTCAGGACCTAATAGAAGAGCATCAGCTTTACAAGCGGAAAGTAAGCGATCACGACTACGTGAGGAAAGCCGCGTATCGACAGGAAGAGTTGGAGAGATTGGGAGTGGGAGGGTCGAGCGAAGTGCCTTGTTTGAGATGTCCTTCGTTTGACATCTGCGGCGATGGTGGACCGGTGAATGTGGCTACCTGCAAGTATTTTGATGAGTGGTATGATAAACTTGAAGAAGCGGATAGGGAGGAGGAAGAGAAAGAGAAGGCGAAAGAGAAGGTCAAGGATCGAGATAAGGGGCCAATGGACAAGGGCAAGGCGAAAGGCAAGGAACACGCGACGGTCAACGGCGATCGAGGGCCGCGTGTTGACATTGAGCTGGAGCTGGAGCCTTCGTAGCACAAAGCTGTTTCTTTCTGGCTTTCCTTCGATGCCCCCCAGAGATCCATCCACCTCTGGACCTACGCGATCCACAAACCAGAGCTCCGAGCATGGCGATGGCGTTTTTATCCACCCTCATTCCCTTCGAGAAGGGCAGAACAGGGCCTCTATCTATCTATCTATCTATCTGTCTTCGCCCGGTTATGGCCGGGCAATCGAAACAAAGCAAAAGCACAAAAAGGGGAATGGACAGAGGAGACAGGCAGACAGGCAGACAGATAGACTGGTATTAATATTCATCTTACTAGCGCTCCTCTATCACATGAACACTCAACTGGACTGGTTCATCCCCATTCTTCACTAGTCGCATCTTCATGACGGATGGAATGGAGGGTATATATGTTGTGTGTGCGTCTCTTGTGGTTGTGTTGGGGTATAATCGGTCTTATACAGAGGTTATGAATGGGGTGGCTGTATTCGGAGCGCCGGAGAATGACTATGGGTCATTTTTTCCCATTCATATTCCATTACCAGCGGGTTCTGATGATCCATGAATGGCAGGCCCAACATGCTCTTCACCTTTATTCTTACGTATATCCGCTAGGACCCTTCAGCCATCCTGACGCTCGCAGCGCCACTGGCCAGCGCCGAGCTCCCGCCTGTTCTCTCCAACTCCCTCCTCCTGCTTGCCTTGGCCAACAGCCCTCCAGCTCCATCCTTTTCCTCGGCCTTCTCCTCCTTCTCAATTTTCTTGGCCTTCAACTCTTCTTCAATCTCCTCCCTCCACCCTGTGATGTCCGGCGGGATGTATTTCATCTGCACACTTGGAGCAGTCCGGATTTCGGCCAGTTGGTCCCTCACGTGTCGTATAATCTTTTCAATGTCCTGTTTTGAGTTCGTGTTCTCTCTTCGCCAGCCACCAAGGTTTGGGAAAAGAGTAAAGCCTTCTTTCCGAAAAGCTTCACGGTGCGGCATGTATTCTGGTAACTGCGGGTTGAGAGTGCGATCTGCGCCGATACAGATTGACGTCTCGTGCGCCCACGCCCTCGCGACGTTGCGCGGTGTATAGCCTCCACCTCCCACGACCAATAAAGGGATTTGAAAGGACTTCACGAACGAAACACAATTGCCATGGCCGCGGATGTTTAGATTGAAACACCCAAGACGGTCATGACCAAGAGAATCAGCGCCGCACTGAAGTACAATGGCTGTGGGGTGGTAGGTTTTAATGGTGGGTTCTACGACGCTGCGGAAGAGGTAGTCGTATGTTTCGTCGTCGATGCCGTCACTGAGGGGGACGTTAATGGTAAAGTTTTTCCCTGGATTGTCTGGGTGGATGGGTCCCGTGGATTCGAGCGGACCCGTCCCGGGGAAAAACACCTCCTTGTCGTATTTATGGAAGGAGACACACATGACACGGTCAGTGGACCAGAATGCTTGTTCTACACCATCCCCATGGTGTACGTCAATGTCGATGTACAGGACGCGCGGGTGGTGCCGGAGCAGCTGGAGAACGGCAAGTACGATGTCATTGACGTAACAGAATCCGCTTGCTTCTGCCTTTTTTGCGTGATGCAGTCCGCCAGACCAGTTGATGGCGATGTCGGACTGTCTGTTGCAAAGCTTGCGGGCGGCGTCGATGGAGGCGCCGGCGTAGTTGGAGCAGAATGCGTACAGTCCGTCGAAAATAGGGCAGTCATCTCCGACGCCGAAGATATGGGAAGAGTACCCTTGAGGACCCGTGGCGAGTTCAGGGTACATTTCATAGATGTTTTGAGGAGTGGCAACGCTGAGAAAGTCGACGTATTCATCCTTATGAAATGCGGCGATTTCTTCCCGGGTGGCCGGGCGGGAAACGTAACAGTCCATGGCCGTGTGCATGCCGTAGGAGAGGACGAGCGACTTCGTCAAGGTGAGGCGCCACGGCTTCATTGGGTGGGTTTGACCGAAGTGATGGTTCTCCACTGATGGGTTATAGTGCCATGAGACTCTGTAGCCTTTTGGGCGGGTGACGCCGTTGGCTTCTATCTCGCGTTGAATTTTCTCGGAGAGAGTAAGGGTGGGGGTTTGGTTGGGAGACGAAGGGTCCTGATATTCCTGGACGATTGCCATGATATCGGCGTTGAAGAATATGTGATCGAGAGCTGCGGCGGGAGAGGACTGATAGGAACTCGATTCTGACTAGAGTACATGACGCGACCAACAAAAGTCTGGGGACTTTCCGGCGACGACATACAGCCTTCAGCGACTTCTTTCTAGCGAAATAAGGAGCGCATTGTCTCTGGGGATGTTATATGAACGGTTTGATGTCTGAAGCGTCCCAAGTTATGGAAGCATAGATTCCGAAACGATTTGCAGATAGAAGCCGTCGAAAGAATCATCGAAGGGTCCAGGTTGAGATGGTCGGGGCAAGGCTGACTGAGAATGTGCAATCTTGGTGAAGCTGAAACTTGAAGTGGCGTCAAAGTGGCGCCACTGCCGCTAGCCTGAAGTAGTCTAGCCTCGCGTGCGCTTTGTCGAAGTTGATCTTCCCGTATATGTTTCTCGCCTTCTGCCTTCGCCGCCTTCCGTTTCATTCTATCGCTCATGTGACAGCCACGTCGGATTTCATCAAAAGGACTGTCATATGGAACAATGCAAAAAGCCGTGAAGGAGTGAGATGCAATTAACTTGGGGTTTCGCTGTTCTTGTGGCCTGTTCTCACTGAGAAAACCCCGTCCTTTCAGACGCGGGGACGAGGCCCTATATTTCTTGCCTCCCACTTATCCACTATCTACCGATATAGTTGTGGTTGTCAGAGATGGCGTCAAACGAAGACTGTGCGTCGGTGTTGGAGCAATTCATTCACGATGCCGCCAATTTACCAGCCGAGATCACCCACATGATGGAAGAAATTGAGGCCAAGGACAAGGACCTGCAGAAGCACTTGTCCGTCATCAACCAGAAAGATGCCAACATTCAGAAGCATCTCAGACTCAACGGAATACTCGCCCCCCATCCGAAGGAGAACGAGTTTGCCGATCTAGTCAAGAAGAACTACGACTTATGCCACCAGCTTCAAGATCAGAAAGTCGCGTTGAGTGAAAAGGCTTGTAATCTCTTGGAACGGCAGGTGAAGAAGCTGGACATGAAGATTAGAGAATTGCAGAACGATGGGCAACTTCTGGACGGCCCGCCCTTACCAAGCGTTTTCAACCGCAAGGCTGACGCACCGAGGCCCTTCCTCGATGTACCCGCCAATTTACCCCTACAAAATGCATCTATCAGTGCTCTCAATGCGAATGCACACAGGATCAACGCGCACATGACTGCGACCATGCAGCAGCCCCAGGCGAGACAGCTGCCACAGATTGCCACAGGAAGCGTACCTCTGCAACGGAGCTCGGCACCGGCAACGCCCGCTTCGGCCGTTCAGCAACAGCGTCAACGAGAGCGAGAACATTCTCTGGGTGCTGAGAACAAGCGGCGGAAATTGGGAGTTCCACTCCCGGGCACAACCCTTCCGGCTCAGCCTTCCGGTCTCCGGCAATCTTCACTTGGCCCAGGCACTCCAAAAGCGGGTACTCCTACCGGCACAAGCGCAAGTCGCGCAGGGAGCATGCCTCGATCCACGGGGGCACAGCAATCAGCTGCGCCTACCAAGAAGTCGGGTCTTTCTAAGAAAGTCATCTCACATCAGCAGGTCAATAAGCTCAAGCAAAAGAGCGCGACCAAGGGAAGGCTATCTGCTGGGCGCAAAAAGGGTCAATCACCCTCGGTGCGGGGAGGGCGTGGAGGGACAGCAGCCTCGGAAGATGCAGACTCAGTGTTGTCATCTGCAGATGCCTCCGAGACCGATGCCTCACAATCAAGAGGAAGGCGAGGCACCAAGAAGCAACAACAAGCCGCCTCTGAGGAACCCGACGTTGACATGGGCGAAGAAGAAGAAATGGAAGACGAGGAAGGAGAAGACGACAAACGCTACTGTTTCTGCAACCAGCGCAGTTATGGTGAAATGGTGGCCTGTGAGAACGATGACTGCCCTTATCAATGGTTCCACACAGGCTGCTTGAACATGAAGAAAGTTCCGGATGAGGACGAAGATTGGTATTGTCCAACATGTAGAGAAAAGCCCGAGATTATTGAAAAGGTTAAGATGAAGAAGAAAGCTGGTAGGAAGTAGGTGACAACCTCGACACACTGGCGAGATTCACTTCCAGCAAGCAGCACCACAGCTGCACCAGTCAGACCAGTCTCAATACATAGCCCTATGATGTCTTTCCATGAGCTTTTACCCTTTGCCGCTCCGCGAAAATATTTCTGTTGTGCCTCGTACAGCATGCCACAATGTCGATGACCGATCGGATATAATGCCTGGCTTCGACAGGGGATCCTGCAATGAAAGCAGGCTATGCGATTGGTTGCACAAAAAGCAATGCTTATGGCGGTGCAACCAAAAGACCGCAGCACCATTTGGCGCAATGAGCGGTATTGGTGAAATCCACGATGGCACCTCACCTCGTAGTCCTGGTTGATCAAGATGATCAAATTGACGGGTACACTCTGGTGACTCTGCTGCATACGTACGCAGAGGAAGATCTCCCAAGATCGTCAAGCGGCAGAAATCCTGGCACCGAGCCTGGTTCTGCTGAAGAACTACTGTAGGTAGACAGTAGCTTGCCCTGGTGCCGTCAACCGAAGCACAATTTCCTTTTTTCTTTTCACACGTGGGATTGCAAAGGTCAAAGAAAACTGGTCGCAACTTGGCGGGCTTCGGAAGCGGACTAAAAGAGCGACGGGGAGACGTGCATTATCAGTTTGCAGGGGGGAGACGGAAAGGGGGGTCGATCGCGGAGGTTAGCGAATGAAACGCACCAAGTGGCAGGTCGATGGGTGGCGATGGCGGTGTTTCCAGCTTGCTTGATGTCCGTCAGAACTCGGCTGGGGAGGTACTTAGTAGGCGAAACAGGGCACGTTCAAGAACTGCGGGTGGGCCGACGATGCAGCTAGTGGACGTCACCGGGGCCTAAACGAAGCCA